TCCCCCAAGGGCCGCCGTTTGGAGACCACTGGTTTACATGATAGAGGAGGTTGCAAGAGTGACATTTTTTTCTAAATATGTGTTCCTCCCTTTTTTTCCCTCCATCTTCAAAGCTTAGAAGGTCTAGCACACCCTTCCTCCCTTGTCTTGTTATTGGCACATCACTGTGATGAGGGCGGCCTCATTGAAGGACAGCCCAGAGCTCTAGACTACAGGTCCATCTCCTCATTTGCATAATAGGCCACACCCACCCTGCACATCCTGCCATAACGGAGAACCAGAATCCAGGCATGTGGAAGAGCTTGTTCCATCGTGTGAGTGGCGTCTCCTTTGGATGAATGTGACCTCGGCGTCGCTCTAAAATAGCGGCTCGAGCAGAATCCGTTGCCTGACTGCATAAGCGCTCCAGACAGCCGCACTAACCACATGACTAATGGGAAAAATTTAAAAGGTGTCAGCGTTGATACAAGCAAATTGCGCTTTGTAAATCACCCCGCCGCACTCTGCATTCCAATACGTAGTCACGACGCCACGGCGAGTCAACTTCTGCCAACTCTAAACCGATAACAGGGATAAACGGGGCCCTCGGAAAGCGCGTTTTCATCTTTGTTCTTTCTTATTTACAACTTCTAGGAGTTTATGTTTCCGCTTGATTTGGCCTGTAAGTCATGTTTAAATCTCCGACCTGTACCTTGTTTGGAAACACGCCTTTGCGTCCTGCAAGAGCCGACAACGCAAATTCCAATGTTTAATGCATACTAATGAGACCGGTGAACCGTACAGGCTTGTGGGATCAACAAAGCCGAAACCGTACGAAGAAAGGAAAAAAAAAAAAACATCTTCATAGCGGCCAAATGTTCTGACTGCAATCTCGCGGAAATTTGCTGTTCTTGTTTCCATCACACTGCGGAGGCTTCTCTGATAAAGGGGAAGGAGCCGCACCCTTGTCCAATCTTCACTTTTATTTAAAAGAGGCTTTGTAGAAATTCAAGAAGAACGTCAACCCAACAGAGAAGCTTGATGAGAAGACCGAATGGTCAAGACTGGAAGAGGGTGAGGAGGCCAAGATTGGCTAGAGATGAGATGAACGCCCAGGGTTTGGGTTCTGAACCTGAACTATCACATACCTGGTGATGGAGGCCAATGAAGAGAGGGCTTCCCTTGCGGCTAAGTTCCGGACTTCCCTGAGAGTGGGACAGCGGGAGTCAGGCCCAAAGTGGCACAGGTCGCCTGTAGGAGTGCTGGTTGGTGGTCCACTCAGAAGCACAGCTGGTGCACGGAGATAGGTCTGCAGACAGGAGGCGCCTGTGCGTGGTATGCAAGCCCTTCCGGGACTGAGATGTTTACTGGGTAGTCAGTTCAAGCCAAGGTCAGGTACCAGGTGGGAATCAGAGCAGACGTAGTCAGATGGGATAGCCAAGGTCATTCACAGAGGAGCGCGCGCGCGCGCGAGAGAGAGAGAGAGAGAGAGCGTATCCGTAAGCCAGGTCAGATCAGGGGTAAATCAGAGTAGACAGGTCCAGGAGCAAGCCGAGTCGGTAACAGGAAATCACGGGTCAAAGTCACAGGAAACAGGAAAAGGGCACGGGGAGCTAGAGATCATCCAGCAACTTGAGGAAGTGACGAGCCTCCTTATAAAGGCCATCTGGCACCAAACTGAGGCTGATGTGTCCTTCTGCAGCCATGCAGAGTACTGGCAGAAATGCCAGATCTTCCAGAACTTCTGCAGTGGACAGGACCCTGACATGAACCCTATTAAAGTCAATGGGAGAATAAAACCAGTATAGACCATTTTCGAGGGATTGTAAATAAAAATGGCATGGAAGGCTGGACCCTGCTCTGAGGAACATGCACCAAAGCAAAACATTTTACAACCACCAGATCAGGGGTGTGGTAATGAGGCCCTTGTCCTCATAAACATGCTGACAAGATGTTTTGCCAAGGGGGTGCTCCCTGACAATGTATCATCCCCATGTTGAGGGCATATGGCCTAGTATGGTTCAGGGGAGGGTGGGTGGGGCACATGCTTGTCCTCCCTTTCCTGGTCTTCATGCTCAGATAGGGCCAGGTCAAGCGGTAGGCAGGAGGGGCAGATGCCCTGGCCGTGGTGGTGATTTTAAATGAGGCTTTGTAGAAATTCAAGAAGAACATCAACCCAACAGAGAAGCTTGATGAGAAGACCAAATGTTTAAGACTGGAAGAGGTTGAAGGGGCCAAGGAATGGCTAGAGATGAGATGAACGCCCGGGGTTCGGGTTCTGAACCTGAACCCTATTGAAGTCAATGGGAGAATAAAACCAGTAAAGACCATTTTCTAGGCCTGGGGTCTCCAAACTTTCTAAACAAAGGTCCAGTTTACTGTTCTTCAGTCTTTAGGGGGGCCAGAGTGGCCAGTGGGAATAAAAAAAATGCCCCAGTGGGAGTAAACAATGCCTCGGACTTGGAGAAGGAATAGTGCCCCCATGATTGATATCAGTGGAAGGAATAGTGCCCCCATGATTGATATCAGTGGAAGGAATAGTGCCCCCATGATTGATATCAGTGGAAGGAATATTGTCCCATCATTAGTATCACTGGGGGCAATAGGGCCTAATTCATGGGTGTCAAACTGGCGGCCCTCCAACTGTTGCCAAACGAAAAGTCCCATGAGGCATTGCAAGATAGACAGGTACAAGCATGACTCCCAAAGGTAGAGGCATGATGGGACTTGTAGTTTTGCAACAGCTGGAGGGCCACCAGTTTGACACCCCTGGCCTAATTGTTTATATCAGTGGAAGAAAAAATGCCCCATTGCTGGTGTCAGTGAGAGATATGGTTCCCCACTGTTGAGGTCATTGGAAGGAATGGTGCCTCTTTGTTGGTGTCAATGGGAGGAATAGTGTCCGAAGGGGTGGATAAAGGCAAGCAAAGGGCCGCATTCGGCCCACGGGCCACAGCTTAGAGACTCATGTTATAGGCTAATAGTTGAGGGATTGTAAATAAAAATGGCATGGAGGGCTGGACCCTGCCCTGGGAACATGCACCAAAGCAAAACATTTTACAACCACCAGATCAGGGGTGTGGTAATGAGGCCCATGTCCTCATCAACATGCTGACAAGATGTGTTGCCAAGGGGGTGCTCCCTGACAATGTATCATCCCCATGTTGAGAGCATGTGGCCTAGGATGGTTCAGGGAAGGGAGGGGGGGAGCACATGCTTGTCCTCTCTTCCTGGTCTTCATGCTCAGACAGGGCCAGGTCAAGAGGTAGGCAGGAGGGGCAGATGCCCTGGGCGTGGTGGTGACTTTGGGGTGTTGTGCTAGAATGGGTGATTTGGAGGAGGGAATTTGTACTAGGAGAGTGGATTGCTGTTAGGAAAAGGGATTTGGGGGGGGGGGGGAATTTGTGCTAGTAGAGATGATTGAAGACCCTGGGCGCAGTAATGATTTTGGGGTGTTGTATAGAACGGGTAATTTGGAGGGGGGAATTTGTACTAGGTGAGGTGATTTCTGTTAGGAAGAGGGATTTGGGGGGGGGGATTAGTGCTAGGAGAGGGGATCTGGGGGGCATTTGTGCTGGGAAAGGGGGATTTGGAGGGGAGAGATTTATGCTAGGAGGGGGGAATTGGGGAGGGAGAGGATGGGGATTTGTACTGGAAGAGGAGGATTTATTTGGGGGGGGGGAATCTTGGCTCGCAAAGGGAATTTATGCTTGGGGGTAAGTGTGAGGATTAGTGCGTGAACTTTTTGGGGGGAGGGAAAGGATTTTTGCTGATATATAATGCTCATACATTTCTTTGGGGGAGGGGGCACCTTTTGTCATTTTCACCCTGGGCACTAGATGACCTTGTCCCAGCACTGTGCTCAGATAAGGGTCTGATGTGAATTTTGGGGGGGGGGGGGACCCCATGATTTTTTGTTCTTGTTTTTTGCACGGGGCATCCCCCTTAAAACCCATATCAGACCTGCTGAGTCTTGTATGGAATTTGGGGGGGGGGGGCATATTTGTCCTCCCTTTCCTGGTTTTCATGCTCAGACAGGGCCAGGTCAAGAGGTAGGCAGGATGGGCAGATGTCCTGGGCGTGGGGTGATCTTTGGGCATTTTGCGATCTGTTTCGGGGTGTCATTAACATTGACACCCACACCAGATCGTATGAACGCCATGTGATTGCAATGCAGTGCGGGAAATTCACAGGATTCGCAGCGGTTCCCGCTCCGCATCACGGTCTCAATGTGGATTCCTAGAATGTATCTTTGTTATTCCTTTTTTTTTTTTTACAATGTATCCTTTTCATATCCATCATGTTTCTATATATTAATACAGTATCAATGTTTGTATTCAAACATTCATGTGTGAAATCAGCTGCACCCCTGTATTTTTCTTTCCATCATCCATCTAAAATTCTATTTTCTTTTATTTTTTCCATCTTGAAAGCAGTAAAATGACAACATGCAGACATGTTATTTGTCATAATACAAGAAGCAGAACATAAGGAAAAATAAAAAAAAAATAGAAATGTTCATGTGGTGATCAATGTCAGGATCGCAGCATTACAGATTGCACAGAGACCTGCACCTATACCTCTAGACCTGGATCATAGTTGACCATAACCTGCCGTGACATAATAAAATCTCCTCCGGCTCCAACTCTTCAGGGATTATCACCGACCTCGGAGCTAAAAGGGGAAATTGGAATTTTGAAGGAAAATTGCTCAGGATTAGTGCAGCACTATAAGAGTGGCATACATAATTACTCTGAATGCCAGCCTCCGCCTCCCCCTCTGTATAGGCCGGTCGCTTTCATCGTGATCTCTAGTTTTCTTTCTCAAATATTTTCAAAAATTCATCATTTCTGTTCTCAACTTTCTTTTTATCTTTTTCTATACAATGTACGAGGCATTGGGTTTGATTTATTCAAGGCAAATAGATTGTTCACTTTGCAAAGGAAGTGAATATTTTCGCCAGAGCTTAGTGAAAGAGGTGAAGATCTGCTGACTTCCATCCAGGGGCGGACTGACAACTCATGGGGCCCCCGGGCAATAGGGGATCGTGGGGCCCCCATGTTCTTGCCCACACCCAAAAAAGCCTATAAAAAGGTACCAGGGGCATCTCATGGGGCTACCTACTGAACCCGGGCCCTCGGGCAGTGCCCGAGTGCTCAAATGGTCAGTCCACCCCTGCTTCCATCATCCAATCATGTGCAAGCAAATTTGCTTTTTTTTTTTTTTTTTTTTAATTTTCCTTGCACATGATTGGATATTCTTTGCACATGATGCACTAAACTCTGGAAAATTCTCATGCAAAATGCTACTTGACGTGCTAAGACAACCAGCCCCTTCATGTAATTGGCCAATCGCCACTTCTAAGTGTTCAAGGAAGATGTTACTTACCTTTCCCTATGGTTGGAGGAAGAGTTCTCCCCTTAGTTCTTAAAGGAATAGGTGGGGCTGAGAAGTTAAAGGTTGTGACGCCCCGCCCCTTTTAGCAGGAGTGATCCTAGGATTTAGAAGGGCAGGTTTTTCTCTTCGGGCTAGGGGCCTAGCCAAGAATTAAGGGTTGTACACAGGTTCTCCTCTTCAGGGTAGGGGCCTAGCCAAGAATTAAGGGTTGTACACAGGTTCTCCTCTTCAGGGTAGGGGCCTAGCCAAGAATTAAGGGTTGTACACAGGTTCTCCTCTTCGGGGTAGGGGCCTAGCCGGGACCTAAGGACTGTACACAGGTTCTACTCTTCGGGGTAGGGGTCTAGCCGGGAAATAAGGGCCATACACATGTTGTTCTCTTCGCGGTAGGAGCCTAGCCAGGAGTTAAGGTCTGTACACAGGTTCTCATCTTCGGGGTAGGGGGTCTACCCGGGAAATAAGGGCTGTACACAGGTTCTGCTCTTCAGGGTAGGGGTCTATCCAGGAAATAAGGGCCGTACACATGTTCTTCTCTTCGGGGTAGGAGCCTAGCCAGGAAATAAGGGCTGCACACAGGTTCTCCTCTTCGGGGTAGGGGCCTAGTCAGGAAATAAGGGCTGTACACAGGTTCTGCTCTTCGGGGTAGGGGCCTAGCCAGGAGATAAGGTCTGTACACAGGTTCTACTCTTCGGGGTAGGGGCCTAGCTGAGAGCTAAGGGCTGTACACAGGTTCTCCTCTTCGGGGTAGGGGCCTAGCCAGGAAATAGGGGCTGCACACAGGTTCTCCTCTTCAGGGTAAGGGCCTAGCCGGGAGCTAAGGGCTGTACACAAGTTCTCCTCTTTGGGCTAGGGACCAAGCTAGGAGCTAAGGGCGGTACGCAGGTTCTCCTCTTCCGGGTAGAGTACTATCCACTTTACGACCCAACTTTTTCTGACACCTTCTGTTTAAAAATAAGAATCAGTATTTTTTGCCAGAAACCCCCAAAATTTAGTATTTTTTAAAGCAGAGACCCTAGACAATAAATTGGTGGTTGTTTATTTTTGTTTTATTTTTACACTGTGGCTTTAAATTTTTTTTTAAAGTACGTTTATTGTTACCAGAGGGAATATAAATGTCCCCTGTGATAGCAATAGGCAATCGAAGGTAAACATCTGACAAGAGGAAATACTAGAGGCTGTCCATTCAAGTCCCAGTTCCAGCACTTTCCTCTTGAAACAGGCCGCCTGTCAGGACCAGAATCTGAACCTGCAATTTCTTCTGTATCTGGCAGTATCTCTTCCTACTAAGCCACCTGAAATGCTGGACAGCTCCATGGATAATTCTTTGGGCAATCCTGCCTTGTACCTTGTTTCTGGTGAACCTTGATCTATTTTATCCTCCAATAAACGTATTATTTAAGCTTTGTCTTGTTCCTCGACTACTCTTCTGCCTGATCTCAACTTGCAACCACTAGTTACTGACCTTTGGCTTGCTTACTGACTATGCTTCTGCTTGATCCCTACCTGCTATATCTGCTAATGGACCTTGCCTAGTTTACCTCCTGGTGGGGCAATCCTGAGGACCGTGGCCTGGAACTAGCATGCAACAAAACCCATCTACTCCATCAGGAGCTCTGACAAATACCGGTTAGTGTTTAGATCCCTCACCTTTGGTGAGCCTCTGTCATCCACCAGGGTGACCTGCTTGTTTTCTTATCCTGCTGGTTGGTGGGAACCTCAATACTGCTTTAGTTACTGGTCTCCGAGCCTGACCCGGACCGTGACACCACCATTCTCCAGCAGTTTGAACATTATGTTCGCAACTCATCTTCAGCTCTCAATAAAGGAAGAATCACACCTAGCTGCTGCTAAATCAAAGTCAACTCTTCAATATAAAACAGAGTTTCCAACAATAGAACACAGATATTTCAACAGGGATGCACATCCTTTCTCACAGTGACAAACAGTTGTCCATTGGAGTAATGCTAGCACCCCCACACAGGTCCTTCTTTTAATCTAGCTCACCAGGACACATAGAGATGGCATACCTTCACCAGGACACATAGAGATGGCATACCTTCACCAGGACACATATAGATGGCATACCTTCTCCAGGACACATGGAGATTGCATATCTTCACCAGGACATATGGAGATAGCATACCTTTACCAGGACACATATAGATAGCATATCTTCACCAGGACACATAGAGATGGCATTCCTTCTCCAGGACACATGGAGATAGCATACCTTTACCAGGCCAGATAGGGATGGCATATCTTCACCAGGACATATATAAATGCACACCTTCACCAGGACACATAGAGATGGCATATCTTCACCAGGACACATATAGATGGCATACCTTCATGTGGACACATATAGATGACATATCTTCACCAGGACACATATAGATGGCATATCTTCACCAGGACACACGGAGATGGCATATCTTCAGCAGGACACATGGAGATTGCATATCTTCACCAGGACACATATAGATGGAATATCTTCACCAGGACACATAGAGATGGCATACCTTCACCAGGACACATAGAGATGGTATACCTTCACAAGGACACATAGAGATGGCATACCTTCACCAGGACACATAGAGATGGCATACCTTCACCAGGACACATAGAGATGGCATACCTTCACCAGGACACATAGAGATGGTATACCTTCACCAGGACACATAGAGATGGCATAATGTCACCATGACACATAGAGATGGCATATCTTCAGCAGGACACATGGAGATGGCATATCTTCATCAGGACACATAGAGATGACATATCTTCACCAGGACGCATAGAGATGGCATATCTTCACCAGGACACACGGGGATGGCATATCTTCAGCAGGACACATAGAGATGGCATATCTTCACCAGGACACATGGAGATGGCATACCTTCACCAGGACACATAGAGATGGCATACCTTCACCAGGACACATAGAGATGGCATATCTTCACCAGGACACATAGAGATGGCATACCTTCACCAGGACACATAGGGATGGCATATCTTCACCAGGACACATAGAGATGGCATACCTTCACCAGGACACATAGAGATGGCATACCTTCATGTGGACACATAGAGATGGCATAATTTCACCAGGACACATATAGATGGCATATCTTCAGCAGGACACATGGAGATGGCATATACCTTCACCAGGGGACACATAGAGATGGCATACCTTCACCAGGACACATAGGGATGGCATACCTTCACCAGGACACATAGAGATGGCATACCTTCACCAGGACACCATAGAGATGGCATACCTTCACCAGGACACTAGAGATGGCATATCTTCACCAGGACACATGGAGATGCATATCTTCACCAGGACACATAGAGATGGCATACCTTCACCAGGACACATAGGAGATGGCATATCTTCACCAGGACACATAGAGATGGCATACCTTCACCAGGACACATGGAGATGGCATACCTTCACCAGGACACCTAGAGATGGAATACCTTCACCAGGACACATGGAGATGGCATACCTTCACCAGGACACATAGAGATGGCATACCATCACCAGGACACATGGAGATGGCATATCTTCACCAGGACACCTAGAGATGGCATATACCTTCACCAGGACACATAGAGATGGCATATCTTCTCCAGGACACATAGAAGATGGCATACCTTCACCAGGACACATATAGATGGCATATCATCACCAGGACACATAGAGATGGCATATCTTCACCAGGACACATAGAGATGGCATACCTTCACCAGGACACATAGAGATGGCATATCTTCACCAGGACACATAGAGATGGCATATCTTCACCAGGACACATAGAGATGGCATACCATCACCAGGACACATAGAGATGGCATACCATCACCAGGACACATAGAGATTGCATATCTTCACCAGGACACATATAAATGCATACCTTCACCAGGACACAGAGATGGCATACCGTCACCAGGACACATAGAGATGGCATACCTTCACCAGGACACATGGAGATGGCATACCTTCTCCAGGACACATAGAAATGGCATATCTTCACCAGGACACATAGAGATGGCATACTTTCACCAGGACACATAGAGATGGCATATCTTCACCAGGACACATAGAGTTGGCATATCTTCACCAGGACACATAGAGTTGGCATATCTTCACCAGGACACATAGAGATGGCATACCTTCACCAGGGACACATGGAGATGGCATACCTTCACCAGGACACATGGAGATGGCATATCTTCACCAGGACACATAGAGATGGCATACCTTCACCAGGACACATGGAGATGGCATATCTTCACCAGGACACATAGAGATGGCATACCTTCACCAGGACACATAGAGATGGCATACCTTCACCAGGACACATGGAGATGGCATACCTTCACCAGAACACATGGAGATGGCATACCTTCACCAGGACACATAGAGATGGCATACCTTCACCAGGACACATAGAGATGGCATACCTTCACCAGGACACATAGAGATGACATACCTTCACCAGGGCACATAGAGATGGCATACCTTCACCAGGACACATAGAGATGGCATACCTTCACCAGGACACATAGAGATGGCATATCTTCACCAGGACACATGGAGATGGCATATCTTCACCAGGACACATGGAGATGGCATACCTTCACCAGGGCACATAGAAATGGCATATCTGCCTAATGGGCATGCAGGCAACAAGAAAAAAAAACAAAAGGTCTAACCCTGCCATATTCTACACTTTAATAGTTCACTGGCCTGTTGACCATTGCTTTATAAATAGTCGGGAAGATTTTTGCCAGGACAGACAAAAGTTCAGAAACCTGATTCCACGCTGCTCTTTTCATAAAACAGTTGCCATGTTGGACAATGTCCCAATATGTAGGGTTTGTAGTATGTAATAGGTTTGTATTAATGACCCCCTCCTCATTAGTACGTAATTACCAATACTCCCCCCCTCCCCCGCACACCTTTCCATTCAACTGCCAGTGGTGAACAAAGTGCTCCCTTCCTGTGCTTGCTGACTGGCCCATGAGGATACTGTAGGTGAACCTGAGAGCTCTCATTTTCATTTAATTGGTTTATTGGTGGTTTTTGAGGGTTCATTGGGCTTTAAATTGCTTAAAGTCCATTGTTCTCCTAAAAAACCCTCCATGAACCAGTTTACTTTTGCTTTACACAATACTTCCAATGCGATTCCCCGAAATGCAGAAATTTTGCTGTAATAAACATGAATTGTTATTATTAAAGTTGCTATTCAAGATTTCATTTCTCTTTTTTCAATGCCAGGTGAAAAGAGAAAGCAATTGGAAGTGAATCAAAGTGTTTTTATTTAATCGTCAAGTCGCCGAATAAAAACGTAATCAATATTCCCACTCATGTGAATTATCCTATCTTTTTTTTTTAAATTAAGATTGTTAAACAAAATCATTTTTGCATTTATGTCCATTCATTCTTTTTATTTAACACAGCGCATTTAACACTGAGGCAATGAGAGTGGAATGCATCTACATTATATTGCCAAAAGTATTGGGCTGCCAGCCTTTCCACACACCTGACCTTTAATGGCCTCCCAGTCTTAGTCCGTATGGTTCAATATTGGGTCGCCGGCCTTTTCCACACACATGACCTTTAATGGCCCCCAGTCTTAGTCCGTAGGGTTCAATATTGGGTCGCCGGCCTTTCCACACACATGACCTTTAATGGCCCCCCAGTCTTAGTCCGTAGGGTTCAATATTGGGTCGGGCCTTTTAACATGTCCTTTAATGGCCCCCCAGTCTTAGTTCGTAGGGTTCAATATTGGGTCGCCGGTCTTTCCACACACATGTCCTTTAATGGCCCCCAGTCTTAGTCCGTAGGGTTCAATATTGAGTTGGCTCCACCCTTTGCAGCTATAACAGCTTCAAGTCTTCTGGGAAGGCCGTCCACAAGGTTTAGGAGGGTGTCTATGGGAAGGTTGGACCATTCTTCCAAAAGCACATTTGTCAGGTCAGGCACTGATGTCGGGGGAGGAGGCCTGGCTCGCAGTCTCCGCTCTAAATTCATCCCAAAGGTGTTCTGTGGGGTTGTGGTCAGGACTCTGTGCAGGACAGTCAAGTTCCTCCCCCCCAAACTGGCTCCTCCATGTCTTTATGGACCTTGCTTTGTGCACTGGTGCGCAGTCATGTTGGAAACAGGAAGGGGCCATCCCCAAACTCTTCCCACAAAGTTGGAAGCATGAAATTGTCCAAAATGTCGCCTTAAGAGTTCCCTTCACTGGAACTAGGGGGCCAAGCCCAACCCCTGTAAAATGATCCCACACCATAATCCCCCCTTCCACCAAACTTTACACTTGGCACAATGCAGTCAGGCAAGTACTGTTCTCCTGGCAACCCAAACCCAGACACGTCCATCGGATTGCCAGACAGTGAAGCGTGATTGGTCACTCCAGAGAATACGTCCCCCCTGCTCTAGAGTCCAGTGGCGGCGTGCTTTACACAACGGCATCGACGCTTTGCATTACACTTGGTGATGGAAGGCTTGGATGCAGTCTGCTTGGCCCATGGAAACCCATTCCATGAAGCTCTCTACGCACTGTTGTTGGGCTCATCTGAAGGCCACACCAAGTTTGGAGGTCTTTAGCTATTGACTCTGCAGACAGTTTGTGACTTCTGCGCACTGTGCGCTTCAGCATGCGCTGAACCCGCCCTGTCATGTGACGTGGCCTACCACTTGGTGGCTGAGTGGCTGTTGTTCCCAGTGGCTTCCACTTTGTTATAATCCCACTAACAGTTGAGCGTGGAATATTTAGTAGCCAGGAAATGTCACGGATGGACTTATTGCCCAGGTGGCCACCTATCACGGGACCACGCTTGGAGTCACTGAGCTCCTGAGAGCGACCCATTCTTTCACCAATGTTTGTAGAAGCAGTCTGCATGCCTAGGGGCTTGATTGTATACACCTGAGTCCATGGAGGGGATTGGAAAACCTGAATCCAGTGATTTGGAGGGCGGGGCCAATACTTTTGGCAATATAGTGTACCTGTATTGCACCAATAAGAAGATCACATTGGGGGAGTGTGGCCGGATTTGGAGTGAGACGGACGTCTAAGTGAGCAGCTCCCGGGACTCCTGTGAAATTCTTGTCCTGTCTACTGGCACAAGGCACCAGACCTTCATTACAGAGGGTGTGGTGTCTCACCTGATCACAGTGATCGCCCTGACATGCCTTCCAAGAGCCACTCATCCACACCAACGCCAGTGAAGAAGCAGAACGGCCCAGTGACCTTGTGTGCCGATGCCATCTTGGCACACAAACTACATGGGGCCCCGGGCAATAGGGGATCATGGGGCCCTTGTGTCCTTGCCCAAACTCAAAAAAGCCTATGAAAAAGGTACCAGGGGCATCTCATGGGGCCCCCTACTGACCCCGGGCCCTCGGGCAGTGCCCAAGTTTCCAAAAGGCCAGTCCGCCCCTGGTACAGGCAGAGTGGTAGGGCGATTCTAATTGTTGTGTTCGGTTATGCCTGTTCTACTGTTTTTTCTCCTTCTCTGTCTTCTAGCTCCTTTTTCTTTCTTAGGGCTATCCTTCCTCACTGCTTGCATAGGCCCCCATGTGTCTGAGCATCCTACCCCTATAGTTATATGTTTTTGTACTATAAGGTATTATGGCACTTAAGCAGATATCATGGAACATAAGAGGCCTCGACAACAAATTCAAACGCTCCCTTATGTTTAAGTACTTAAATTCTCATAAGCCACATATCTTGTTTCTCCAAGAAACACAGCTGACTGGTAATGACATTCTAGCTCTACGACGATCTTGGGTTCGCCAGGTTTCCATGCCACGTACCCAGGGACGTATTTACCACAAGGCAAAACAAGGAACTTGCCTAGGGTGGCATTATTCAGGGGGGCAGCACCTCCCCCCCAGAAGAAGGGATGAAAGAAGGGACACGCGCGCCATGGGAACCAGGTGGGATCCAAGAGAGGCTGCTTGATGGTGTATGTAGAGCCTGACTCTCATTCCCAGGGATATCTGGAGCTTTGAAGATGAGTGTCTTTCTCTCTATCGCCGGGGGGTTTGGAAGGCTCTCCCAAGTGGGGGGTGTTGTTGGTCAATGTCAGGGGGGGGGTGTTGGTCGGTGTCTGTGGGGGCAGACGATTTGAGCATTGCCTAGGGCAGCACAAAACCTAAATACACCACTGCACGTACTCCACATATGCCCGGGGTGTTGCCACTTTACTAAACAAGTCCCTCTCCTGTAAGGTAGAACGAGTAATTTCAGAGTGTGGTGGCAGATATCTCATCCTACTTTTGGAAAGTCATGCTGTCCCTTGGGCTTTTGTAAATGTGTACCTGCCCCCACCAGTGGATTGCTCGCTGCTATGCACAATTTTTCAGAGATTGGCCCCACACCAGATTAAACACCTCCTGATTGGAGGTGATTTTAACTCTGAATTAGACGTGGACCGCATCGTATTATATTCCCTGATCTCCAGAGTTGGAGGCATACCTTTGCTCTTACTGAGCTTTGGAGGTGGAAACATTCGGGTACCTCAATGTTCTCATGTCTGTCGGCTCCACACCGCTCAGGCTCCCGTGTAGATCTAGCTTTTGGCAGTATGCCAGTTCTGTCGAAGTTGTCTGGGGCCTCATATCTTCCAGCTGGTCTTTCCGACCATTCTCCATTGGAAATCTGTTTGCGTGTGGGGTCTCCGAGGGACCCAGGTTTATGGAGACTAGTTCCACATTTGGTACATGATGATAAGGTGGCTGATATGGTCTCCCTGCATATGAATTTTTGGTCGACCAATCAGAATTCTGCTTCTCCAGCAATGGTGTGGGAGGCGTTTAAGGCGACTACACGGGAAAAATATATTTCCGCCATTAAAGCATCCCGTGTAGATCATGAGGCCCACCTGACCCACCTCGAGAAGTGTGAGTCTGAGGCTGCCACAGATCCCACATCAGATGTGTATCTCCAACTGGCACAGGACAGAAGGGATTTGAGTCTTCATTATGTCACAATTACCCGATCTGATGCTCAACTGTTTTCGGGCAGGCTCTTTGAACTGGGGGACAAGAATGGGAAGCTAACCTGCTGGCAAACCCTCTTCTTCAAATGGTGATCCGGGCAATTCAGTCGCCTACAGGAGAGCTAATCACGGAACCTACGGCCATACTCCACAAATTCTGTAACTTCTACAGTTCCTTGTATAGTCAACCCACTTCTCCATCGGCTCGGCCGTACTTATGGAACTACAGAGCCTCTCCTTGCCTACTCTTAAACCTCAGGAGGCGGAGGAACTGGAGACTCCCACTTCCACCCTTGAAACTGAGAATGCCATAGGCTCTTTCCCTAATGCTAAGTCTCTTCCCCCTGGATGATGTACTGGGGGGAATGGTATAAGACCTATGGCAAGATTCTGGCTCCCAAACCTCAACATTTATTCTCCAGCTGTCTGGAAGGTGAGGAATTGCCTTGTTCCATGTCCCAAGCACATGTTGTTCTCATCCCAAAGCCCGGGAAGGATCCTACCTTATGTGCTTCATATAGACCCATATCCCTTTTCAGTTATGACCTTAAGATCCTAACAAAGGTTCTTGCCATGAGGTTACTCGGGGTCCTGCCCTCACTGATAGATATTGATCAGACTGGCTTCAAGCCAGGTAAATCCATGGATAATAACCCCTTGATGCCCACGTCACACAAATAGGCGGCCTCACAGAACTGGGCTTTTTTCCATGGGGACGCATATTTGCGTAACTATCATTGTGCTGAGAGGGGGCGCCGCACAGCGTGCTCCCAGCACAGGGACCGCGGTGTCACTGAGAGCCCTTCTAACGATCGGGACATGGGAATCCAGATTTCCGGGTCACATGATCGCTGTGATAGCCTCTGATTGGCTATCACAGTGATCAGTCACTGTGCAGCCCGGCCCCCTTATTTGTTTCTCTCTCTCTATGAATGGAGAAGAGAGATACATTGTATCATTCTATACATTCCATTATACATTGTATCATTATATACATTCCATTATACATTGTATCATTCTATACATTCCATTAAACATTGTATCATTATATACACATTCTATTATACATTGTATCGTTTATATACATTCCATTATACATTGTATCATTATATACATCCTGTTATACATTGTATCATTATATACATTCCATTATACATTGTATCATTATATACATCCTATTATACATTGTATCATTATATACATTCCATTATACATTGTATCATTATATACATCCTATTATACATTGTATCATTATATACATTCCATTATACATTGTATCATTATATACATCCCATTATACATTGTATCATTATATACATCCCATTATACATTGTATCATTATATACATCCCATTATACATTGTATCATTCTATACATTTCCATTAAACATTGTATCATTATATACACATTCTATTATACATTGTATCGTTTATATACATTCCATTATACATTGTATCATTATATACATCCTGTTATACATTGTATCATTATATACATTCCATTATACATTGTATCATTATATACATCCTATTATACATTGTATCATTATATACATTCCATTATACATTGTATCATTATATACATCCTATTATACATTGTATCATTATATACATTCCATTATACATTGTATCATTATATACATCCCATTTATACATTGTATCATTATATACATCCCATTATACATTGTATCATTATATACATCCCATTTATACATTGTATCATTATATACATCCCATTATACATTGTATCATTATATACGTCCCATTATACATTGTATCATTATATACATTCCATTATACATTGTATCATTATATACATCCCATTATACATTGTATCACTATATACATTCCATCATACATTGTATCATTATATACATTCCATTATACATTGTATCATTATACACATCCTATTATACATTGTATCATTATATACATCCCATTATACATTGTATCATTATATACATCCCATTATACATTATATCATTATATTCATCCCATTATACATTGTATCATTATATACATCCCATTATACATTGTATCATTATATACATTCCATTATACATCGTATCATTATATACATCCCATTATACATTGTATCATTATATACATTCCATCATACATTGTATCATTATATACATCCTGTTATACATTGTATCATTATATACATTCTATTATACATTGTATCATTATATACATCCTATTATACATTGTATCATTATATACATCCTATTATACATTGTATCATTGTATACGTCCTATTATACATTGTATCATTATATACATTCCATTATACATTGTATCATTATATACATCCTATTATACATTGTATTATTATATACATTCCATCATACATTGTATCATTATATACATTCTATTATACATTGTATCATTATATACATCCTATTATACATTGTATCATTATATACATCCTATTATACATTATATCATTATATATACATCCTATTATACATTGCATCATTATATACATCCTATTATACATTGTATCATTTATACATTCCATTATACATTGTATCGTTATATACATCCTATTATACATTGTATCATTGTATACATCCTATTATACATTGTATCGTTGTATACATCCTATTATACATTGTATCATTATATACATCTATTATACATTGTATCATTATATATATATATATATATATCCTATTATATACATTGTATCATTATAAACATCCTATTATACATTGTATCATTATATACATCCAATTATACATTGTATCATTATATACATCCTATTTATACATTGTATCATTATATTCATCCTATTATACATTGTATCATTATATACATCCCATTATACATTGTATCATTATATACATTCTATTTTACATTGTATCATTATATACATTCCATTATACATTGTATCATTATATACATTCCGTTATACATTGTATCATTATATACATCCTATTATACATTGTATCATTATATACATCCCGTTATACACATTGTATCATTGTATACATCCTATTATACATTGTATCGTTATATACATCCTATTATACATTGTATCATTATATACATCTATTATACATTGTATCATTATATACATCCTATTATACATTGTATCATTATATACATCCCATTATACATTGTATCATTATATACATCCTATTATACATTGTATCGTTATATACATCCTATTATACATTGTATCATTATATACATTCTATTATACATTGTATCATTATATACATCCTATTATACATTGTATCATTATATACATTCTATTTTACATTGTATCATTATATACATTCCATTATACATTGTATCATTATATACATTCCATTATACATTGTATCATTATATACATTCTATTAAACATTGTATCATTATATACATTCCATTATACATTGTATCATTATATACATTCTATTAAACATTGTATCTCTCTAACTAAAAAAAAAAA